GAAAGAGAAGGTGATCAAACTCGCTAAATCGCATCTTCAGATTATGTCTTCAACAATCGCACTACCTGGTATGCCTCCAACACATTTTGAGCCTAGTTGCCTTTGGAAAACCCAACGAGATCAATCACCGTGCGAGTCTATTATGATACAAATGTATTCTCTCCTCTTGACCTCAGAGAAGGAGAGTAATAATCAACGTGATCAACCATCGCCACCGCCCGCGGCTCGGTCGAGGCACTTCCTGAGCTTTCCTTGACCACAATGTCGCATGCCTCCGCTGACAAGTAGGATGACATAGAGAACCGCAAAGCAGTCGTCAGCAGAAAAGATGGTGCATACGTAGCTGTGATTGTGCGGTTGCCACTGGTTTCGTGCTCGTAGGTTCGAGGGTAGAGGCTCGACATTAAGGTTTTGTTGCGGGCTACTATCGAGTCTAGCTCTTCTCGTATGAGCGCTGGACATCAAGCGACTGCTTTCCACCGTTTGCAGTTTGCCAGAAATCAAGACTGGCAATGACATCGGTGCCGAGTTCGTCTTCATAGGAGTACAGGATCTGGGTATTGTTAGCTTTCTGTAGGAATGTAATCTTACGTGATTGACTTACTTCTCGTGTCGACGTGTGTAACCATCTAATGTTCTTGGCTGTGATGATGTGCACCAGACCGCCGCTCTCCATATGGCGTATTTCAATGAAGCTAGGCTCAAAGGCAAGGATGTAAGGGTTAAAGATGGCGAAAGCTTGTGGCGTGCCCTCCCATGTGATCTTCCAGTCGGGTCTCGCCCGCCAGCCGTTGCGGTTGACGAAGAAGGAGTAGTCTGTATAGCATAAGAGGAACTCGCTTGCCATACGCTCGATATGGATTGGCTTGATGTTCTCCTTCCGTACGACGAAGTCAAGCGACGTATCTGCCTGGTCGAGCAGCGATTGCGTTTCAAGCGTCTCCAGACTGACAACTTCGAAACCGCGTGCACAGCCGACGCAGAGCTTGGATCGCAGGAAATGTATCGATGTCGATTCGGTGGGAATGTAGAACTCCTTGTAGGGCTTGAGCTGGTCTGCTCCGCTCGTGGAGAGCATCATCTTCGCGAAACCTGACTTCTTATTCTTGTTGCCCATCTGCTCCTTTGGCTCGTACACCTTGATAGTGGTCGAGAGCGCAGATGTCTTGACTGCAGCCACCAGTTGCTGCCCTAAGCAGATCCCGGCCTTGAAGAAGTTGGCGTGGCAAATCTTGCGTGGTCGCTTGACCATGGACTGGGTCTCGTCGGATTCCAGAGCCTCTGTCGAGTACGAATACAACGTCTTGTCGGCCAACACAAGCACGATTGCGTGTTGTTCGAGAACTTCGATCTGGGTTACACCCTTGCAATCCAGGACACGACGAGGTCGCATGGAGGCGTCCTTTGGCTTCCGCTCCACGACATAAACACCAGCATCCGTACCAAGAGCCAGTTTGCGACCACCGTCTGTCAAAAATTAGTATCGAGATTACTAGTAGAATGATGAGATACATACCCAGCGGAACAGCGCATGTGACTCTGATGGTCGGAGAGAAAAAGCCTTCGTTGACGATTGTCTTGGTGAAGATGTTACTTCGCTCCCTCAGACTTCGCTGCTGTGTGTCGATGTGTTCCATCCATTTCTGCTGAGATATGGGGGTGCTGGCAAATAGTGTCAACTCGTAACCGCCCTTTCCAAGATGCTTGAAAGTGATAGGGTATCCTTGCTGCTTGGGGTCGTTATTCTTTGGAGTAGCAGCGGCAATGGCCTTGCCGGCGATCAAGTTGGCTGATGGCCTCTTGGAGATGCCCAACTTGGGGTTGACCTCCTCCATCTGCGTGATGACCAAAAGCTCCAGAGGTATCGGCTTCTTGTAGACTTTCTGCTCCTCGCGCTTGTTGACAGTCTTCGCCCGGACCAACAAAACTGCATGATCAAACAAGTAACAAGTAATGTCACCAGTGGTCTCAGTTGGAGTCTTCTTCAAGGTACCCTTGAACACCAATTGCCGGTTCTCGTCGGTCAGCTTCAGATCCACAAACTCTCCAGGCCTAAATTTAAGGTCCTTGTTGAGCTGCATCAGATTGAAATGGTTCTCTGCCTTTCCAGACTCCACGTTGACCTTTGACAGAGTCTCCTTGATAATCTTGATGACCTTGGGAATGTCTTCCTTGTCGGGATTGTCATCGGCTGTGTACTTTGCGATGTTCTCCAAAAGCAGAGGGTACCTGGCCAATCTTGTTGTTGGTTTGGTAAGATAACCGTTGAGCTCGAGCTTTCGCGATTCCTTCATTCTCTCTACCTCATCGACAAACTTGGCGAATCCGGTATTTGTGCGTTTCTCATGCTCAAACTCGTACTTACCGAAGAGCTGGTTCGCACCGTACTTTATGAAGGGCGCAAAATGTGGCACATACTCGAGGAAGATGTCTCCGACATTTCGAACCACGGGTTCCTTTTGCTGGCGCCTTGTGAGCTGTTCGGCCATGCGCGAGTTGACCATGTAGACTTCCTGACAGTTTGAGAAAACGGTGCGGACAAACTTCTCTCGGCGGTGCTCAGGGATGGGTGAAGTCGCAGGGTTGCGAAGAGGCTTCATCCAGAAGTCTCGGAGATACTCCAGATCCTTTACGAAATCGCGTTCAGTGTACATGAGCTCAGAAATGACCTCTTGTCGCTTCTGTTCCTTCTCAGACACACTCTCAGAAACCTCCTTGGGCACAGTGTTGATCCAGAGTTTCTGCTCTTCATTGTCCTTGTCTTCATGCAAACTCGCCCTGGATTCCTCGCGTTTAAGACCTGGCTGAATGCGCATGTTCAGACGAGCCTGCTGCTCAAGACGGCGGGGGCAAGCAATGGAATAGCACAGGCGGTCGCGGGTGCACGTGGGAGAGTAACATTCGGTGAGAAGCGTGAAGACACCGTTGATCTCGGACTTGTCCTCTACCATGGTCTCGCGGAATTGGTAGATCTCGTTGGTCGAATCTCGCAACCGGTGAGCGTAAGTCACATCGTGGAAGAACTTTTGGGCGTCCAAAGAGCGGCCGAGAAGCAGCGCTAGATTACGATCCGTCGTCTTGATGATGAACGAAATGAGGTCAACCGCATCTGCGCCGGTGAAGGCACTCTTGTACACCAGACCGTCCTTCTCTTTCTCTGTCAGGCCAACTCGATCCTGGAAGGTTTCGGCAACTCGTGATAGCAAGGCGGGGTACACGAGCGGTGCGCGTCGCTGGGCAGCAGGGACCTGTTGCCCTTGTGAAAGCGAGGTCATGGACTGGTTAGAGGTTCTGTTGTTGCTGGCGTTGCTACCCATAGTCTGGGTCGAATCAGGACGCGATGTCATCGAAGACATGGTGTTGGTCCGTTCGGACGGAGGCACAACGGTCGATGCCATGGACATGGTGCGGGACTGGGTTGGCACGCTGCCTTGGCTAATGCTCCTGGGATTTGGCGGGAGTCCAGCGTTCATATGTTGGGGCTGGCCGGGCGCTCCAGGTGCCATTTCCGATCCGCCAGACTCTCGTCTTCGGTTTGGTATGATCCTGCCGCTCATTGTCTGAGTGTGCTCGGGGTCTCTGGTGTAAGAGGTCATAGACATTGTCCGTTCGTCGGGTCGTTCTGGAACAACACGCCCCTGGGCGGTAGTCCGTGCCATGTGGTTCATATATGGTTGTTGGCGGAAGGTGTTTGCTTGCGAGGGGTGAGAAGGTCCTCCGGGGGTGAATTGCGGGCGCGGGTTCAGAGCTAGTGACTGCGAGCGGTACGGGTCAGCGTTCATTGCAGGCCCCGGTGGGCCGGGAAAGCGGTTGGGTATGGGCTTGGTGAAGGGGGGCTGCCCTGGAGGGGAGGTTCGCGGGTCAAAGCGCTGGGGCTGTCCGTATGGCTGACGCTCCGGGCGAAGCGGCTGGGGGAGGTACTGGGGCTGCGGCTGGCGTTGAGGCTGCGGCGGGCCCTGGTGGTATCGTGGGTCTTGGCCGTAGCCGTTCGGCATGGGGCGATTGTAGGCGTTTTGGGGGTCCATGGGCCGCTGCTCGCCGGGATTGCTGCCCGGGCGCGCGTCGTATTGGGGATGAGGGCGACGATCATAGCCATTGACCGGCTGGCGCATGGGCGGGGCGCGCTGCATCATGTCGGCAGTCTGGCTGGACATGGTGGCAGCTCTGTCGGGCATGCGCATGTGAGACTGCGAGGTCATGGTCTGCGAGCGGCCGGCCATTTGGGGGCTGGCGCCGAAGATGTTGGTGAAGGCGGTTTCCCGTGCGCCCGAGGGCTGGCCATGGTTGGGGCCGCGCGCATACTCTGGACGTTGGTGGTTCCCGTAGTCGGCCATGTCTCTGCGCAGTCTTGCCTGGTCGGGGTGCAGTGCCGCGGGGTGTGGCCGAGGGGAGGAGGGCGACTGGGGCAGGAAGGGTTGAAGCCGCCCAGCGAGGACCCAGGGCCGTCCTGGATGAAGATACGTGAAGATGCGAGGTGGTGTAGGTGCGAAATGGGCGGGTAGGGTGTAGTCGTATCCACGATCGTGTGTATTAGAAGCGCTGGGGCGTGCTGCCCCCCGAAGCAGCCTAGTGCCATTCTCCTACGAACGCCCAGCGCAACGACTATCAATCATTCAACGCCTCACCCATCACGCGTCGACTCCCTCGCTACTACACCACCCGCCCGACCTGCGCACCACCCGAGCAGGCATCATGTCGTCAAACGAGCTCGCGCCGAGCTTCGCGCCGTTCTTTGGCATGGTGAGTGTCACGCCGTGTTGATGACTTCATAGCTAACCTTCGACGCAGAGCGGAATCGCGTTTGCTGTGAGTAGCACCTCTCCCACGTAGCTGTCGAACTAATATACGAACCGCGCCCAGATGATCTTTGGATGTACGAGACCCGGCCCAACCGCTTGGACGTGCAGGAGCTAACGGCAGCAGGCGCTGGAGCTGCCTATGGCACAGCCAAAGCAGGCATCGGCATCGCTGGTATCGGAACATACAGGCCAGACCTGATTATGAAGGTGAGGAGCTGTCTACGGCGTCTGTGGGAGCTCCGGCTAACTAGGGCAGTCGCTCATCCCCATCGTCATGTCCGGTATCTTGGCCGTCTACGCCCTCGTCATATCCGTCCTCATCGCTAGCGACATCAAGCCGCCGCCGGACAATACATACTCGCTGTATGCTGGATTCATGCATATGGCTGCCGGTCTGTCAGTCGGTTTATCTGGCCTGGCTGCGGGCTACGCGATTGGAATCGTGGGAGACGCCGTACGTAGCGTTGGTTCTACAATGGCGGCACACACTGACATATGTAGGGTGTACGCTCTTTCATGCGCCAGTCCAGGATTTTCGTCGGCATGGTCCTCATCCTCATTTTCGCCGAAGTTCTAGGTCTTTACGGGTACGTTCAACGGAGTGATGCGACTAGCCAACAGCTAACATGTCCAGACTCATTGTCGCCCTCATCCTCAACACCCGAGCAAGTGGCTGAGCTGCAAATCACGCAATACTTGTCTCTTCTAAACGTCAACACTTAACTCCTACGTTAAAGACGAACTTGGTGGTGGGCAATTGTACGACTACATGGTGTAGATATAGTTGACGAGCATGCAATACTTGGAGTTACAGTTTCGGAGTTTGGGCATATCTAGTACAGTCGAATAGCATGTTATATCCTCGTATGGCAATTCGTATCGAAATGAGATGAACAGGCAGAATGGCAGAACATCGGCGGACAGCGTGCCATTACGTCTTGTGCGGCCGAGCACGGGAAGTCTGTTTAAGCAGTAGCTAACAGGGAACCTAAAAGGCACTATGTTTGCTCACATCGGAAAGTTAAAAACACATCAGGTTCGTACTCGACAAGTGGAGCGGCGTGCCGTCTCATCAGGCTTAAGTCGGCTTTGTTGCAAGCCCAGTCCCCACGCCCTGCGTCATTGAGTGAGTGATCAAAAGCCCCCGCCATGCATGCACCTGGTCGCGCCCGCTTTATAGTCCAACGTGCCCCTTGGCCGCGGTCGTCGAGTGCTACACGCCCGGCCGACCCGCCTAACCACAGGCTGCCCTTCACGATACGTTTGCTTACTACGCACATACAAGCCCGACGATTGACCCCGCCGCTGCCCGTGCCTGCTGCCATGAGTTGCTTCCGTTACTGATTCCGGATAAGACAGCACCTGAGCAACCCACCCGACCCCTCGATCGCGCCTACTACTCGCACCCCTACCCCGTTGTCGCAGGCGCATAACCGGCCACCATGGCGACTACCTTCAAGAACATGCTGCACCCCATGCAACACCACCGGGACAAGAAGGAGGCCTCTTCACCGTCGCATTCTGGCCCGCTACACGACCGCACTGATTCGGCCATGGACCGGCCGCGCGAGGAAGAGAAGCAGCACCTGGCGCAATGGGAGGCGCAAAAGCACACGCTCAGCCACGACGAGATTGACATTGACCCGGAGAAGAAGCCCGTCGGCCACTCGTCCAAGGTCCTGCGCGAGGAAGACTTTGAGCTGATCAAGACCCTCGGCACCGGTGCGCATACTCGTCCACGCCGCTAGACGAGGACAGGACGCTGACTCTACGTCAGGTACATTTGCGCGCGTGTGGCTGGTGCGATTGAAGGACGCAAAGGCGGGCGACGAGAACAAAGTCTTCGCATTGAAGATTCTGCGCAAAGTCGACGGTACGTCTGCGCCCTCGACATGCGCCCTTTGCATCTACTGACGCCCGTCGCCCAGTCATCCGGCTCAAGCAAGTCGAGCACGTCCGGAACGAGCGCAATGTTTTGGCTAAAGTGGCTGGCCACCCGTTCATAACAACCATGGTTGCCAGCTTCCAATCCCTGGATTCCCTCTACATGGTGGTACGTAGCGGCGCCTATCGCGAGCACTCGTCAATGACTGACATGGTGGACAGCTCGACTACTGCCCCGGCGGCGAGGTCTTCAGCTACCTGCGGAGAGCACGGCGCTTCAACGAGCCCACCTCACAGTTCTATGCTGCCGAGATTGTCCTTATACTAGAGTTTCTCCACGAGAGGGAAGGCGTCGCATATCGCGACCTAAAACCTGAAAACATACTCATAGACGCCGAAGGCCACCTCAAGCTGGTGGACTTTGGGTTTGCCAAGAAGGTAGAGAATAGAGAGACCTACACACTCTGTGGCACGCCCGAGTATCTGGCACCCGAGGTCATCCGGAACACAGGCCACGGCACAGCAGTCGATTGGTGGGCATTTGGTATCCTGGTGTACGAGTTCCTCGTGGGACAACCACCGTTCTGGGACCAGAACCCAATGAAGATTTACGAGCAGTACGCAAGTATCCATGATATTCGAGAGAGTAGAGCTAATGCCCCGTAGAATCGTAGAAGGACGCGTGCGCTTCCCTTCTGCCATGTCCCCCACTGCACGCGACCTCATCTCCGGCCTCTGCACCGTCGACACATCCAAGCGACTGGGTAACGTCGCAGGCGGCGCTCAACGTGTGAAACAACACGAGTGGTTTAAGAACATTGACTGGCAGAAGCTGTACAACCGCGAAGTCCAGGGACCCATCGTACCACATCTAAGAGGGCCTGCTGACACACGCAACTTTGATGAATACGAACCCGAGTCGGAGAAGAGAGACCCATATACCAAGGAATTGAGCGACAAGTGGGAAGAGAGCTTCAAAGACTTTTAGGTCTAAGTCTTTGGGCTTCACAAGGGGAAGCCCGAGAACGGGTCGTCACCTTGGATATGATGTGTCGAGCCTGAGGATCGAGATTCGGACAGAGGGCCAGAGGGGTGGCGTTGGATATGCAACACGGGCCCCTCACGAAGCATTGTAAATGGAAGGCGAAGTGGGCTTTGTGCTTGGTGGGGTATTTTGTTGCTATGACGAGTTTCCCCGTTGCCCGCAAGCTATACGTGCTGAAAGCGATATCGGTACGCTTTGGTATGAAGCGCATACCAGCTCTATGAAATGTGAACGTATCTTATGTATGAGGTCCAAGCCGTTGATGCTCACTACCATTCAACCTGTCCACGTTGGTTTTCGTGCTCATGGCTTCACTTCTTCTCTCCCGTCATTCGAGGCAAGCATATGGCACCTCATACAAGGAAAAAAGCTGAGCAGGTCTGCAGCCTACATCAATGTGGGATCACACAAAGTAGGTGACACAACACCAACGTAGGCTCCACGGTGCTTGATTTGCTTCTTGAATGAGGCGATGGAAGTGTGAACGCACGCATATACATGTTCAAAAGATGGCGAAAAAAATGGCAAAAACATACAACAGCGGGGATTCCCCGGTGGTCACCCACCCGAGTACTAATCTGCCGGTATCATGCTTAAGTACCGCTGAGCGAACGGGAAGCGCTGATTTCATGATCCTGTGGTCGTATGTGGAAGACTTAGACAAAAGTGTGATATATCAAACCGTAGTCGATGGATTGGCGACAATAAGCTGACGTAGTGACGGAACACAACTGTGACATACATCTCTACTAGAAACTTTGATGGCGTTTGACCGCCGCAACAAGTCGAGTAGGTTCCTCAAATTTTGAAGAAGTGTCAGGCGCTTCTCGTGATAAGCGTTGCAGTTGGCGACTACTTATGTATGGTAGCGACGTATTAGGAAGTGCGGTTGCACATGTCAGCCAATGGGCTATGGTGGTGCCATCATCAGCCACACCACATCTGGCATAGACCGTACCGTACATCAGGTTATCGCAACGAGGTGCATACATGTGGCGAAGGCTGCATCGCGAGATCCGGAGGAATCGACGATGTGTGTGCGGGTGACAGGAGCTACGTACAGGCGGCCCAGAGCGGATAGGAGGTGAGGTGGAGATGAGTTGGCGATGGAACACGCTGGGGTAGCCCGTGAAGCAGAATTCAGGCGCTCAGCTGTGATGCGCTCTGTTGCTGTCATTGGGTTCAAACACGTCTTGGACACTCCAGGGCCTTGATGGCATGATAAATACGTAGGCAGACTGGGCACACACCCCAGTGGCAAGCCTGGAAGTTGGGCGGCATAAGTGAGAGGGGGCATGGGGAATGCACTCCTCTTTCCAAGGCCCAAGCGCGCTTTGAGATTAACATGGTAATACTTGCTTGCAAGAAGCACAACACGACGCATTTCCTTTTCGTGTCTTGTAGTAATCGATCCATGCCCCTTTCCTTCTTGTTCTTGTTCTAATCGTAGTTGTCTATTCTTTCCGCTGTACCCGCCGTATCACGACCCTCTTGGATTACCGGCGAGTGATGGACAGGCAGGCCAAGCGCATCCCATAGCTTCGTTAGCAGCCAGGCCGCCATTTATTTACCCAACGCCCGCACCACGACGGCCTCGCAGCGCATCTCCAAACTGCATGCTGGGCGCCTCCGGCTGGTTGCTGGCATGAGCAGTATCAAGACACGGCTGCAGAATGCGCGGTCCAAGTTGTTGAGACGCAGCAGCGCGACGTCGAGCAGTGCACGCTCACTCACTTCCTCGCATGGCAGCGAGAGGCATGCGCGCCCGCCGCCGACCAGCTCCCTCCGCAAGAGCGTCTCGCTGCAGCAGCTGCCCGAGGTGTCTGGCGCGGAGACTCCCGACGACAAGACAGCTGATCCGCGCATGGTCAGGTCGGATGTGCTTGGAGTGGCCGCCGACAGTCAGGCCGACGGCAACGGCAGCACTGGCAGCCTGAACACCTCGCGAGATCGACACTCGACCTGCACGAGCATCGCGAGCACCGCAAGCCACCACCACAACAACCACCAGCGCCCACCCTCTGCTGACGTGCCTGTCGTCCTGCCAGAGGTGACTCTCGAGGCGCCCACGCCTCTCCACCCCGTAGTGCAGCAGCCTGCCGAGCTCAACCGCGCCGAGCCATCGTCGCTTTCTTCCGCCCCGAGCGACCACACCACCACCGAGCCTGTCCCCGCCAGCAGCAACGACACCTCGCACGCCCCATCGCCCGCCCTCGTCCGCCGCCAGTCCGTCGTCAACAAGACCGATGCCCAGATAATCAAGAAGCTGCTCGTTCCCGACATCCCCCAGGCTGCCATCCAGACCGGCCCGCCCACCGTCGCCGACTACTTTGGCGGAGCACCCGCCCACTTCAGCGCTGGCATGCTGCACCGCAAGATCTGGGTCAAGCGGCCCAGCGCCTCGGCCACACTGGTGCAGATCCGCGAGGATGACCTGGTCGACGACGTCCGCGAGATGATTCTCAAAAAGTACGCCAATTCACTGGGAAGGAGCTTCGACTCGCCCGACGTCACGCTGCGCATCGTCCCGCGCGACAACCAGCGGGGAGGAGACCGCACGCTGGGCCCCGAGGAGGACATGTGCCGCACCCTGGATGCCTACTTCCCCGGCGGCCAGAACGTGACCGAGGCCCTTATCATCGACGTGCCCCAACGGAGGACCCCCAAGCCCTCGCCTCGCGTGCCCTTTTACTACCACCACGAAGATGGCGTCCACCCACAGACCGAGTACTTCCCGCCCATGCCCGT